TGACGCGCATGGTCTGGCGGCCCAACTACAACACCTACAATGATGGTAATGCTTTTGGAGGTTTTAAAACCTTTTGTCAATTCTCAAACCTTTCTTTCTCTAGTGGAAGTTCACGCCGAGCTGGTGTACGCCGAGGCGATGCTCATGACGGCACTGCTCACCTTTCTCGAGGACCAGAACCTGCTCAATTTAGTGCGCGGGGCGTTTCGCATTCGCACCTGTTACCAGTCATACAAGTGAGTTTTTGTTGTTGTTGTTGTTGTCAAAACTGCTTACTAAAATCGATAATTTCAATTTTGTCAGAGAGTGCTTCTACATTCTCAACAATCGCACCGAGTGGTGTTCAGACTTTTCGCGGCTGCACTTTGAGTCGGGCGTTCGCATGGGCATTGGAACCTTTAATTTGGTGAGTGTGATCAATAGAAATAGGTTTTAGAAGATTAAAAACTAACCTTTTTTCCTTTCTCTTCAGATGCTCTCACACATGCCTGGAAAAGTGCTGAAACTGCTAGAGTTTGTCGGCTTTTCTGGCAACCGCGACCAAGGCCTGCAAGAGCTGGAGACGTCAACCTTTCTCACTGATGGCCTTCGCTGTCCGCTGGCCACTCTGATCATGCTCGTCTACCAGTGCTACATTGAGCACATCTTTGGTAAGGGAGTACATTTCTTTTATGACCTTCTTCTTCTAAACAAATCAATCATCTTTTTCGCTATAATCACTCATCATATGTGAACAGGCCTGGGCGATGGGGACATGAAGTGCGTCTCTCAGCTGCTTGACTTTGCCCTCGCCAAGCATCCTGATGTGAGTGCTCGAGAATTCTAAATTCTTTCAGTATCAAATCTTTCTCACTCTTATTCTTTACCAAAACCTTCAGGGCGCCTTTTTCCTCCTCTTCCTCGGCCGCCAGAAGCAACTGACCGGGAAGATTGAGGAGGCAATTCAGGCCTTTGAGCGGTGCATCGCCGCCCAGAACGAGTGGAAGCAGTTTCACAACATTTGCTACTGGGAACTGCTTTGGTGCTATGCGTAAGTGTTTAGCTTGCTTAGTCTAGATCCAAAAATGTCTAATCTCCACCCTTTTACCTAGTGTTCAATGCGAATGGGAAAAGGCCGCTCACTACGCAAACATCCTCCGCCAGCAGTGCAAGTGGTCTCCGGCCGCCTACACCTACCAGTACGCCACCTTCACCTACATGATCATGGCGGAGAAGGACCGACCAGAGCTGCGACCCGAGGTGGACAAGTACCTGAAGTGAGTGTTTTTGGAGTCTTTTTTTGTGTGAGAAAAATACCTGATTTTCTAACTTTTTACAACTAAAACAGACTAGTGCCCGAGACGCGAATTCGCTTCGCCGGCAAGACCATTCCCGCGGAGAAGTTTGCCATCATCCAGTCTGACAAGTACTTTGAACGAGGTGGAACGATGACACTGCCCGCCATTGTAAGTTTGTTTTGGAAATTTCTTAGAAGTAAAGGATCTAAAGTCTAAAATCTTTTTTTTTCAATCACAGGAGTTTATGTACATCTGGAACATTTTTGCCGTCATCGGTCAGTCGCCGCACCTGTTGAATCCGATTTTGGAGCGCATCGACCGCCACCTGCGCGTCGAGGAGGAGAATCTAGGTGAGTANATGATCATGGCGGAAAAGGACCGACCGGAGCTGCGACCCGAGGTGGACAAGTACCTGAAGTGAGTGTTTTGGAGTTTTTTTGTGAGAGAAAAGTAACTGATTTTCAAATTTTTTACAACTAAAACAGACTAGTGCCCGAGACGCGAATTCGCTTTGCCGGCAAGACCATTCCCGCGGAGAAGTTTGCCATCATCCAGTCTGACAAGTACTTTGAACGAGGTGGAACGATGACACTGCCCGCCATTGTAAGTTTGTTTTGGAAATTTCTTAGAAGTAAAGGATCTAAAGTCTAAAATCTTTTTTTTTCAATCACAGGAGTTTATGTACATCTGGAACATTTTTGCCGTCATCGGTCAGTCGCCGCACCTGTTGAATCCGATTTTGGAGCGCATCGACCGCCACCTGCGCGTCGAGGAGGAGAATCTAGGTGAGTAGACAGTTTTTTCTCTCAATAATCTTTGCCTTTCTAACTTCTGATAACTTCTAGACAACCCTAATCACTACCGCGACGTCTACTGCCGCCTGCTGCTGCTGAAGGGCATGTGTCTGCGCTACCTGCAACGTCCTGAGGAGGTAAACACATGTTTTTTGGCGATCCATTTCGAACTTGTAAACAAACATTTCTTTTCTCTTCCTAACGTAGTCAAACGAGTGCTTCCTCAAGGTCATTGACAAGTAAGTAAACAAAGAATCTTCTCGGTGGCCTACAACTAACCTTGCTCTTTCTATNTTTCTCAATAATCTCCGCCTTTCTAACTTCTGATAACTTCTAGACAACCCTAACCACTACCGCGACGTCTACTGCCGCCTGCTGCTGCTGAAGGGCATGTGTCTGCGCTACCTGCAACGTCCTGAGGAGGTAAACACATGTTTTTTGGCGATCCATTTCGAACTTGTAAACAAACATTTCTTTTCTCTTCCTAACGTAGTCAAACGAGTGCTTCTTGAAGGTCATTGACAAGTAAGTAAACAAAGAATCTTCTCGGTGGCCTACAACTAACCTTGCTCTTTCTATTTTCAGCAAACACGCCCTCGTCAAGCCAAACACCTACCTGATTCCGCACGCCACCATGGAGCTGGGACTGAACTACATGCGCGCGGGCGCCTTCACCGAGGCCCGGCAGTGGTTCGACGAGTGCAAGACCTACTCCAGCTACGCCCTCGAAACGATAGTCCACTTTCGCATTCACACCGCCATTCGGACGATGTCGCTGGTGACGAAGGCGGAGAAGAAGCGCCAGAAGCAGCAGCAGCAGCAGCAACAGCAGCTGGACAGCATCAACGAAGATGAGGCTGAAGGAGATGATGGAGAAGAGCTGGCCAAAAACAAAGCTGGTGGCGGTTTTGGTTCGATTTGGAGTGCTCTCTCTCGACGGTGGAATGGAAACACAGCTACTGATGCTGCTGATGTTGCTGGTGAAACGAAGCTGGTGACGCCCGAAGTGATTGCCGAAGTAGTCGAGGTGGAGGTCGAAGAGGAGATCACCTTTCAAAGTGCTGTCCAGAACAAGTAATCTTTCTCGATTCCTCCTCCTCATCATCGCCATCGATTTCACGTGATTTTGTGGCCATTTTGTGGTCATTTTTGTTGACTTTGAAACGCGGACTCAGAAAACATATCAACTCCTTTCTGATCCGTTCCAGTGCTAATGTTTTTATCTGAGCAAAAGTTTAAAGTGTCTCCGAGTTTTCTTTCATTCTTTCAATGTGTAAACTAATCATCAAATAAAGTCGTTATTGTTGAAATCTAGCCTAAATTTTTTATGAGCAATAAAGAGAAAGAGGATAATAGTTTGAATATTTGTATTTTTCTGTAAATCAGGAAAGAGAGAGAGAGAGAGTGGTTCGTTATATAACAGAAAAAATAAGTAAACATACAGTTTAGTGTGTGAGTGTGTTTGTGAGAAAAAGAAATTGTGTTTCGAAATGCGCGCAGATCGGTGCCCATTGCCTTCTCTGCTGCTTCTATTCTCAGTTTTGGTGCTCTTGTTCTCCTCATGCCGTTTCGGTAATTTGATGTGGTGAAAGGCCTACTAGCAAAAGATTAAGCAAAAAGTGTGTGTTGTGGGTCGAGCATGTCTCGGAGTCATCCCATCTCATTTCTCCCCTGCCCCCTTATGCATCGAGGATTCTAAAGGAGGCCATCCGCTGCCAGTGCGCCCGACAGTCGAGGCAGAGGGCGTACACCAGCATGCCGGCGGGATAGGTCCGACAGAGGAGGGTGGCCAGGCAGCTGTCGCAACGGCGGCTCTTCTCGGGGCTCAACGCGTGGCAGTCGGTGTGGTAGCGCTCGGGAATGTCAATCGACTTTAGCATGCGCTTGCAGCCGAGCCGATGGCCGATGTTGTGGTGGTGGTTGTTGTTGTTGGCAATCAGCGAAGACTTGGTGGCCGCCGTCTTGGCCTTGGTCACACCGCCGCCACTTGACTTTCCGTAGAGGGTGCGACTGCCACCACCACCGCCACCAGAACTTGTTTCAGAGGGCGACAGCTGCTTCTGCTGCTGCGACTGTGGTGAGCCATCAGATGAGCGCCCTTTAAGCGAAAGAAAGTGCTTCATCATGTAGTAGAAGGTGACAANGAACTTGTTTCAGAGAGCGACAGCTGCTTCTGCTGCTGCGACGGTGGTGAACCATCCGTTGTGCGCCCTTTAAGCGAAAGAAAGTGCTTCATCATGTAGTAGAAGGTGACAATGTGGCCCAGCTCCTTCTGGGGCAGGTACTGCTGGCGGAGGGCGCGAAAGTTCTTGCCCACCTTCTCGAAGCCCTCCCGGAAGCGGGCCACCTCCTCCGTGGTCCAGTTCTGCAGGGGCTCATGGCAGATGACGGGCTTCTCCTTGGGCACCAGGCTGAGCGTGGCCGCCCCAATGTCGTAGTTGTAGATGTGCAGCATGTCCATGGCGCACTGGGTGGTGTAGTCGCGCACCGAGCTTGCGCCCACCTCCAGGGCGCCAGGCGGAGGTAGCTGCTGCTCCTCGGCGGGCAGGACAAAGGCGAGCACCTTTGTTCGGCCGAAGGTGCTCACCGACTGGCAGACCTTGACGAAGCCTTCAATGTCGTCCTCCGAGAGGTTGTGCTTTGGCGTGTAGCAGAGCGTCTCGGGCGAGTGGTCCTTGTAGTGAACGGCCTGCTCCTCCTGGGAGAGGGCGAACGGGGGCACCACCGCCTGGTACTCGGCACCCACGCGCATGCTGCCCTCCTCCAGTGGATAGAGAAATGGCTGCTGCATTGAGTTGCCGTTGTTGTTGTTGTTGTTGCTGCTGCTGCCGCTGCCATTGCCGTGCCCGTTACCAGTGGTAGAGCTGATGTGCTTGTACTTGAGTCGGTAGAAGAAGGTGTCCTTTAGCTTCACGTAATCCTTTGGATCTTCAACTTCCGACACAAATTGAACCACGACGCATTTGCCACGCAGTTGCTGCGGAGCAAAGGGTTTGACGATTCTAGTGTTGTAGTACAGCTCGTGGAGGGCTCCATCGGCGTTGGATTTGATGTGAGCAAGTTTGTCTGTGTGAGTGAGAAAGTGATGAGTTAGCTATGCTGTGCTGTGGTGTGGGCAAAAACAACTACGGTAGTACACTTACGCTCATTTTCCGTGCTCAGAATCAACACAATGGGCACATCTTGGCGGCGAAGAAAGGTGCGCACCTGAAGCTCAAGGACACCGTTTCGCTTCTGGACGATGGCGTCAATTTGGCCAATCTCAAATGGCTCCGATTTCGAGGTCTCAATGTAGACGAAGTCATTCAGGTGGTAGC